TCGATTCACCTGATTTCAAGCGAAATCTGCTCCCAAGTGCTCTCGTTTATCCTGATTTACAGAGTGGCTCCGTTTCTGGTTGCCTCTTGGGCAAAGGGGACCTGACCTCCCAGTTATTTCCACTTTCCAATTCTTCCCCAAGAATCTGCCCCTATACATCGCCGGTACAAATACTTGGAAATCCTTACTTAAGGCTAGTATCTCGCAATTTTCATCGGATAGAGGAGCTCGTATCTTGTTGCGCTTTAAGATCTCTTCTTGAGAAGAGAACAAACTCGAAAGCAGACAGCATCGCCGATCTTACGTGTTTATATTCAGCATCATCCCGTTGAGAGGCTTATCTGTACTGTAACTTTCGCGAGATACATATATCAGCCCTACATATGTGGCAACGTGCTTGAAATGACAATGAAGGCGAGGACCAATATTTACTATACATCCTGGAGGTATTAAAAATCAGAAAGAACTTCCAGAATCTCGGCTGAAGTTATTTATGTAGGATCAAGGTGGTTAGTGGGTTTGAGGTGCTCAAGGCGAAGTCACTACCAGCGAATCTCTGAGGCTACACTAGAAGATTATGACTGACTCTTTACTACCGGTCTGACTCTTGACTAACTGTCAATTCTCAATCTAACAACTCTCAATAACTAACTCTATTAATTACTCAACTCTACGTATATTTCCTAAAACTATCCTACATTTATTATCGTGAAAAAGAGGTCAAAACAGGAAATTGATAATGAATTTGCTCGGCAAATTATTTACGAAGAATTTCTCGCAAAATGTAGTCTTAAGTACACGTTATGTTCACGATAAGCGAAGAGACAATGCTGCTCTTAGGAGACACCGCTTAACGAGCTAAAAAGAATCATGGTTTACGACTTGTCAATATTTCAGAACTAAGAACAGCTAAGTGGATCGTGATGTAGGATCTGAGACACTTTTTAGAGAAAAATTTCAATTATGATCGTAAATTGACAAGGTGTATAATACAAACATTTGTAATAATAACTACAGGAACTTTTCTTAAGAATCCTACAATTAAATAACAGCCTATAGATATAGATATACATATATACGTGATGGGATGTGACGTAGGACCTGAGACACTTTTTAGTCAAAAAATTTCAATTAACTATTGCAAACTGACAAGGTGTATAGTATAAATATCTGTAATAATAAGTACAGGAACTTTTCTTAAAAATCCCACAATTAAATGACTATATATAGATATATAGATGTAGGAAAGGAATAAGTACGGCCCTGAGAGAATGTAAAGACTGTTTAGGCTAGGAACGAAAGCAATCGTATGCAAGAGGATTAAATATAAGGGATGTTTATGAAAGCCGAATGCGATAAACGAGTAGAAGTTTATGAATGCGTCTGAATATTTAGGATACGTGATCCACCGATTAAAAAAGAGAACATGTGAATATGAAAGAAGACACAGTGCAAGGTTTAACCCTTTGCATTCGAGAGGCGCCTTTCAGTCGCCATTTGATAAATTTATTTATCATTTATCTAACACGACAGCAATAAACGATATTTATAACGTGCAAAACAAGCTTATATTATTATTGTTTAATTATGGTTCTTTGTAGCGTGTAATTAATATTGCAATAATAATTTTTATAACTATATTATAATTTTATTATATACATAGCAACACAAGGAAAAGGAAAATCTAATTTATTAACCCTTTGCACTCGAGAGATGATCTTCAGTCACCATTTCATAAAATTTGGAAGCTCGACATTAATTAATAAATCAAATTTAAAATAATGTAACAGTGTGCGAGATATCGAAATCAAATAATTCTACGTATTAATTATTATACGATTTTTTATTTACTGCTCAAAAAATATCATTAGCCTTATAGCAGAAAATTTTTCATCTCGTACCCTTCTTTAGCCAAAAAATCGTTAAATGAAAGCAAAAGGTTAAATAAGAATGCAAGGATGTGGAAGAGTCAGTGTGTGTTTTAGAGTCAGTCATAGAAATTTTTGACAGATAGCGAGTGAGAGTCAGCCAAGAGTTATTAGCGCTCAGAATAAGTTTTAGTTTAAAATAAATTATTTTTATTTTAGATCACTGCTTATTCTGTTGCCTACCCAACATTCCTATTGTGAGAGGAGTCTTTATTTGGATGGCGTCACCCTGCATCGGGATCTGTTTACTTCGAGGAACCCTCAAGATTATCAATTTTCGAAGCAGGACTGAGCGACGCAATGGATCGTCATAAGGCCTATAAGAACCTGGGAGAAGGGTTCGAGTCTGCATCAGCATCGCACAAGACTCAAGCGTCCGCACACTTGTACGGCAAGAGAATAAAATATAGTCAAAGTTTAAAGTTAAATCTCTATAAACCCGATCCTTTTACCACACTATATATATTAGAAACCATTAAATCTCATCCGAAAACCTCTTTAGTTGTTCATAATAATAACGACGTATATTTAGATGGCAATACGTGATGAACCACCCTGTATATATACTGATATAGATATATGACACTATTCATCGTCGAACCAAGAATGTACCGAGCTGATAGAAGCAAAATTGAATTATACGCTTGCAGACAAGGTTAATTTGACACCTAACTCTTGAAATAATCCTGGCCTTAGCAGATAGATCGTTTTCACATTACTCTCGTCGTTGACTTTGCTCTCATGCCCAGTCAACCTATCAATATTCGGAACACGTTCCCACCTTCGCCTGAGACACGTTAATCGAGTCAACACGGTTTAGCATTTCTTCCTATTCGTTCAAAGTTGTCCCGCAAAAGACCTCGCGCGGTCTAATGAAAAAGTTCTCCGAATCGTCTTAATTCGAGGTAGCCGCATTAGCATCGGTGACACGTACCTCGGGGATACACACTCGCTTTACCCTCCTTCAGACAGCCGGTCGCCGCACACTCTGCATATTCCGCAGGGGGATGAAATTTGGTAACTCGATTGGAAATTTAATGAACTCGGGAAAGCTCGGTATCAAATTGAAACGTATATCGTAGACGATCATTGCGCCGGAATGAAATTCACCAACCACGAAACCAAGCGTCCCCCCTCTGCCTCGCTCGTCATTAGGAATAACCGAGAAATTTTCTCGCGCAAGAGCGACGAAGAAAGCGAGGGCTGATTCGCCGGGAAGTCAGCAGAAAATCTGCAGCGTGGAAGGTGGTAAAAGGTTGGTAAGAGCACGGTGCAAATGGGTATAACACGGGCACTATTTGTCGAATAAGAAGACTAGAGTTTCAAATGTTCCACAAGCGTTCTCGGATGTCGTCTGGGAACGTTAACGCCTCAGCCAATTCCCGACCCTCGCGATTCCGTACACCCTTCCATACACCGTCTGCCCTTTTCTTATCCTGTAAAACCTCCGGGAGCAGTTCACTGGGATGTCGTGCACGCTTCTGTGATTTACGTCTGCGCCACGGCCTCCGGGCATTCAAGCTTTTACAATGTAAGTTACGTCGCGCAGTATCAGTAAGGATGAAGATTGTAAGCGAAGAAGCCCGGAGTAAGTGAAAAAAGGGGGAAGAAAAAATGTGCAAGAGGGCAAAATAGAGCACAAGGGGAGCAAGTCGTTCGAGTTTATTTCTCCGACGAGTGAAACAAAGCTCCTCGCGTTTCGTCAACCCCCGACGGGCCAACTAGAGTTCCTGATACTCGCAACATTGCTCGCAATCTTGTATACAGGGGATCAATATTTAAAAAGGCCGGAGAAAGTCCCGCACACGGGAGAAAACCGTGGAAACTTATTCCTCTGTTCGTCTGGCTCGGTGAAGGTATGCCGGAGAACGCTTTGTGCCCGCGACGCGTGGAATGGCAGCATTTCGACTTTGTCGGCGAATATTTCTAAGAAGTATTAAAGTAAGAAGGGAACGCAGCGGGCAAATAAGAAGGCGGGGAATAAGCGAGAATGAAACGTTAAACATCGAGCATGGAAGAAAGGACAGAGGGAAGAAACTAGTTCACCGGAGTTTATTTTTCGGGGGTTGAAGCGGAGTTCTAGCACGAACGATGCGTGTATATAGATATATCGTAGATGTATAATAGTGTCCGTCGTAAAAAGGATATTTCGTAACGGTGAAATTAATATGGAAATATCACGGGCTGCTGAAATGACTCCCAAATTCGAGAGGATATTTATTAAAATTCATATTCGCGATATAATTACTGACTCGTATTTCGAAATTGATTTTTTTTTTCCCCTCTTTTCTCGCGGAACAGCTGTAAACACGCGAAAAGATGAGGGAATGAAACGCGACAACGCGAAGGACGTGGTTGAAATTAAAATTATGTTTGCTACGTATGCGAGAGGGATTGAATTTCGCCGGGAGTAACGCGTTTCGTTGTAATTTTCAATCATACGTTCCATCCGGGACACATTTCCCGTAAAACGAACGGGGGAGACGGGGTGGGCTGTGTAACCTAGACGTTCCAATGGCCTTGCATTTTCAACTTGAGGATCTACGCCTACAGCGATACAAGTAGCGCCCGGTAGAAGTGAAAAAAGGAAGGGAATGTGTTTTCAAAGCCTCTGGCTCGTCCATAAAACAAAGGAAGTTTCCCCGGAGGTCGAGAAGCGACTAAGGTAAAAGATGCGTTTCACTCCCTCGCTATTATGAACAGCTAATTGCCTACGGAGTAATTAATTCTATCGCGGAATTTTAAACGAGAACGTAAGAAACGCGAAGCATAAACGCGAGAAGGATACCGCGTTATAGTTTCAAATACGTTTGTTTATTCAGAAGCTCGGCATTAAAATGCTCGACGAGGCAAACGAGTAAATCGCGTTGATAATTAAAACGGCGAAACATCGTGACTTCTTAACGAGTTTTGATGAAATAAAAATTAAGAATTTCGTTATTAATTTTGGAAAACGAAAATGTGAAAAAATATCTATTATATCGATTTTCCTGCGAGTGTACGTGTTAGAAAAACGCGATAAAATATGAAAGAAAATGATGTAACAATGAAGATGGTAGAGGCAAGACTCACCTAAAGGTTGTCACCTGTGCTGGCCGCTCTCGTAGTTTTCGTCAATGGTCCCAGTTGTCTGTTTTGATCCGATCGTGGCCTGCAGTAAATGATTTTCCGAAAAGCTTTCCGAAAGCTGTCACTGAGAAAGGCGTAAAGAATAGGATTGACGCAGCTGTTCGTGTACGCCAAAATGTGACTCGCTATTTGAAACATTATCGTCGCCAATTTCAATGGGTACACGTTGAACGATTTCGTGACGAGGATTACCTTTTGCGAGAAACAGACAAGCGGAAAATATCGTTATTGTAAACGTCGAGCACACCTAACACGTGATAAAATAAAATAGAAAACGTTATAACTAAAATTATGGCAAGAGACAAATTCAATATCGCGGGTCTGGAAATTCCGCGTTTTTTCCATAATATAAAAGCGTGAAAAAATATGGAAATTGCGAGGAATTTCGCGCGCCGTGAAAATTAGAGAAATAATATAATAATAAACGAAACTTGTAAACTTATATCGGATGAAATATCGCGAGGCACGAACGAAATTTGCCTGGCACATGCAGCGAAAAATCGGTTTTACGAGCAGCGATCGATGATCGAGCGTGCAAATAGGAATTAACACGACGAACCAGAAGAGAAAGTACGCCGTGGATGGCTCGTTTCATTAATGGCTATATCACTGCTGAAAGTTCGAAAAAGAGATCAGCAACGGTCCATCAATTTTTTGGACGAATTTCAACGAGCTAATATAAGTGTCCTACTTAGGAAACTAATACAAATACACAACACACGGATGAACGCGTTCGATATTTCGACGAACGAAGCGGAGAAACTTCGGTTAAATGAATTCTCTAAATGAATTTTCCAAATGAATTTTCGAACCTGGTCGTCGATGATTCTGCAATTCCATTCGTTTATTTGTCAAATGTTACTATGGTTCGGTCCACGTGTTATTGGCACGAGTGATTTCAGTGGAGTAACTAATCCCGTAATAACACTGGAAACATTCGTGAAACAATATTTCTTGCCATTCGAATCAAAATCGTATAAACTTTCTAGCTACTGCCACGTATCGTCACACAGTGCCCTGTTACGTTCGATGCATCACCGATACGTATTCAACGAAGAATATTTCGCGCGGGAAACTCAATAAACGCATTGCATCCGCTGCACCCTTAGTACCGTGAGAAATACCACGTCCAGCATGAAATAGCAGACAAGCGAGAGGCAAGCGAAAATTGACAGTGTTCAGTTTCGAAATACAAAAAGACAAACATCGTGCTTGTCTCAACAGCTGAGACGCAGGATTCCGTGGCTGAACATATCTTCCCGATTTTATACCATCGTTTCGCTTACCTTTTCCCACTCGCGACGTACTACGATACAAGAAACAGAGAAAAGAGACGTGGAAAATGTAAAAATCCGCTTTTCCCGCGATACGTTTAAATGTAATATACTGGAAGATAATTACATCGACGGTAACGCGATTTTCGCGACTGAATTACCCCAGTAACGATAAAGCGAAGGATAAAATTAAAAAATTACCAACGTTGTTGATCGGTCGATAAACCTCATGCCAATATTCCCCATTAGCCGCGAAATACACCGAATTACCGAATTTCACCGCATAATTTCCTTTCGCGATTTATCTTCCATCTCCATTAGCGCGAACAGCGTGCAAATTAATTACATTGTGCTCGTACCGGTGATACATTTTTTCCTCGTCGAAAATCTACGCGTGAAAAATGTGGACGCTGTTCTACCTCTGGCCAATAATTTTGACTGTTATCACGCTATGTCGAACTGTTCGATACCGAAAGAGTGATCCTTTGGACAAATTCTCGAGAAATGGTTTCGATAAATCGGCGTATAAATATCTAGCTAAATGTCTAGCTAATAGGGAGCACGGTCGTAGATACTTGGTAAAATATTCGACGAATAAAATAAATAAAGTATTGGAGAAATAAAATCGTGTCGACATTGGCGTAGGATGAAAACGATCAGAGAATTCGATCAGAGGGAATTAGGTTTCGCCGGATCGTGGGAATTTCGCGAGATTTCGCTGCTGATCGATTTCAAGCCTGGTTAGGCGACAGCAACGGGTTATACGAACCTGTATAGGACACCAACAAAAGGCGAAAACGCCAACAACGACGAACACGAGTCTCGTGACTCGTTTCCTTCCACGTCGGCCTTCGGCACTGACCCGATCGCCACGCCAGAGTCTGATGAGCATGCAAACGTAAAAGTAGCATATCAGCATCAGCGGCAGCAGGTAGCTCATCAGGAAAAACGTCATCTGGAACGACGGCCAACTATATTCCGGGAGGATTCGACAGGCCGTCAAATTCGACGACGACGAGTCATTCGTGTCCTGAAACTAAAACGAATCCACGTATGTAAAAGAGCAATCCTTGGCCGTGGTCGAGATATGAAACCGCGTGTGAGATATGGAGAGCAGAGTTAGGCGAAATATAAGGTTCTTCCATTCGATTTCATAAGTTGGAAAGGAGGAATGAAAGACTTCGTGACGGGGTAGAATTTTGATGAGGATCGATAAAGTTTCATGCGCCAGGAAATCGAAACTTGGTATTGTTTTGAAAATCGAAAAAGTATGAAATCGGTAAATCGTTAATAGAGTTCGTTTAGGAGAGCTTCCAGATTCGATGAAATTAAGTTTCGAAAATTTAAAGAGGAAGGTAGAGGTTTATCGTAGAAGGACGATAAGTTATAACTAATAAGTAATAGGTTATAAGTTATAAATTATAAATTGTAAATTATAAGTTATAAGTTACAAGTTACAAATTATAAGTTGTAAGTTATAAATTATAAGTTATAAGTTATAAGTTACAAGTTATAGATTATAAGTTACAAGTTATAGGTTATAAGTTACAAGTTATTATAAATTACAAGTTACAAGATAGAATTGTAATGAGGCTCGAAAAAGTTTCATGCGAAACCAACCTTCTAAATTCGATGAGATTACGTTACGAAAATTTAATAAGGAATGTAGATGTTTACCATAGAATGATTTATCACTACCAGTAATGATGAAATTAGATCAGTTCTGTGAGAGATATCTTCTATTAGGTGGAACGATGATGGACCGAAAAAGGCGAATTCCGGCACGCTAATCACTCTGGCTAATTTGACGCTTCGACCAATTTCGTCCGATTAAATCTCTGATTCGATGGAAACGTGGAATCGCTGCATATACGAAACGTGCGTTATGATTCGCAATTCCGCCTGGCGACAAATGGAATGTGTCATACACGTAAACGTAGAACACGGTTTAGCTATAATCATCCAGCGATCATAGATAAGTAGTAACGGTTATTTCTGTCATTTCCGTTTGCAGAGTCTCGGAAAGTCGTATAACTGGACGACATTGTGCTCCGTGTTTGGGTAAGTCGACGAATTTGCATAGAAGTTAGACGACGATGATGATACGGTCGTGTGCTGTATAAATGGGTGCTATATTGCAGAGTAGCCCGAAAATATTCCATTATTATGTATTACATCTTGTTATTACATCTTGTTAACCACCGTTGACAGGTTTGCTGATCAATTTCATGAATTGTTCTACCTAATAACGCAAAAGTGTGTCAAACGATCTATTTCATCGAAGAATACGTCAAATTAACGTTAAATTAACCAGAGTTATTATACAACTAGGAACGTCTAGTGGTATTCCTACTATATAATTTACAAGATAATATAAAACGCGAGAACGCAATTGTAAAAATGAAGAACTCGAATGGAAGTGAAGAGCTTAAAAAAATATATGTAAAAAATTAATTATCGAGACACAATGGCTGTTCGATCACGTGAACTGGAAGATTGGAGAAAAAAATAGGGGAACATCATGGTTACGTGTTTACGGTGTATTATAAAAAAAAAGCGTTCAATTATGAAAGATGACTGCTGCGAGGCTCAGTGCGTTCATTTCATCCGAAAGTAATTAGAGTGAGAACACTCAGACGGGAACTACCGGATAGACGAGGCATCAGCAAATTTTTCTTCCATCCACTTCAATTTTCCAGTACCATTAACGGCATATTGTTTGAAACGAGTTAATCCAGCTTTATGTCAAATTTAATCCGCCCGTTTTCTGCTACCTTTTTCACCTCGTCTCAAGCACGAATTAAATCGATAAGTTAAATACTAGGTACACGAATCCGCGTTCCGCGTGGAGGATAAATCATCGGAAGTTGATCGTAAACAAGCCGAATAATAAATGACGCGATTAAGCGTGTCATGCATATGGAAATTTGATCATTAGCATGGACGTGATCGATAACGAACAACCGAGTGGAAAAAGTCGATCGGAAAAGCCATTGCGCGACCAGGAAAATTTTTCGCGTTCGTTCCATATGGCTCGAGCAGGGTACGCGAAAAACTGATAGAAATATCACGTCGAGCGTGTTATATTCCGAGTCCAATGTTCAATAATATAGGAAAATTAGAAGCCAAAATCGATACCTGTAGAATAAAATGCTAATTAACCCGGCAATGGCAATTAACCGAGATCTCTGGGATATTGGATCGGAAAACAGGGTGAAAATTAATTTGGAACGCGAGGGTTGTTTGCGAGTGTGACTTACCTCACCGTGAACAAAGAATGCAGGGGTGGATAGTGCGAAAATCATCGCCCAAGCGATGCAGATGGCGATGATTGCGTGATTTTCAGTCCTCCATGACATCGAGGAAATAGGATGAACCACTGCCAGATATCTGTAACAATCACGATACCATATGTAATATAATGTGGTACTGCGAGCAGTGAAGGACGTTAACAAAGGAAATAGTATTAACCCTTTGACTGTCACGCCAAAATGACACTCAGGACACCACGAGAGTATTTTTATTATTCAAAGCATGTAGTGGTAAAATAATAATAAATTAGTGATACAAGACAATATTTTTACCCAATGGAGCATTTATCGAGTAATCACCGTGGCACCTTGGTAACTGATGACAGCGACACCAACTGTCAATTTTCATTGAATTTTTACAATTATAAGTATAATAGTTCAAGCCCTTCGGTCATCAATGACAACCGTGGGGTCACAGGAGAAACCGTGGCCGGTCATATACGACCTACGTGGCAGTCAAAGTGTTAACAGGCAGAAAAGGGAAAGAATAAGAAGAAATTCTCCGCGATCGTGGCAATTTTGATCATGCTCCAACGTGATTATTTCAATAAAATTTTCCAATAAAATATTCGAAAAATATCTTATTGGCGGTCATGGGTGACCACTGTGGCGCCTTGGTAGCGATTGACAATTGACTAACTGCCAATTTTCATGCAATCTTTACAATTGTAAGTATAGTAGTTCAAGCCGTTCGGTCACCAATGACCACCGTGGCGTTACAGGAAAAACCATGACTGGTCATATACGACCAATGTAACAATCAAAGTGTTAATAGTGATAGCGAGAGCAGAATGTGTATAATCGAGACATAATGAATAGAAGAATGTGTTTTTGAGAGTTAGAGTTGAGAAGAACCTAGTGTAATATTTTAGATAAATAAATCTGTTTTGTTATTAAAGAGGAGTCATTGTTTATTAGATTCGCGGATCCCTGTCTGCATAGAATTAATCTGGCAATAATCCTACAATAATTATACTTTAAAAAATAAGCAGGCAAATATTTCGTTTAAATAAATTCAAAAATATATTCGATACATACGTGTTAAAAATATGAATATTGCTAAATGGATAAATTGTATAGAATCATGCTGTTATAATAATAGGAATAGCGTAAATAATACATAGCTTCCTCCAAAATGTCTTACCCATATATAATATGTTAGCCTAAATGAATAGGGAATTACAGATGCTAATTGACTTGGATGAAAGCCAATAAGTCAAATTATGCAGTCTATCAGGGGATTCCATGTGAATCGAATTAATCAATCTATCAAGGGAAACTCTGTCAGAAGCACCGCTGAATTTGGGGTCACAGATGTGAACGGTCGGAAAATATTTCCGAGTGTAATTACTTTCACAAGCAATTCGATGTAAGCGATAAAAAGGTAAGCAGAATTCTATGAAATCGAGCAAATCGAAATTACTAGGGACATTGAAGATGTTAGCCGCGATATGAAATAAGGGCACTGCAGTCGCTGGAGATGAAATTGTGAAATGAAATCGGAAACCCGAGCACGTAATGTAACTCAAAAAAATTTCGAAGAAATAGAAAATAAATGTATCGTATATTCCGAGAGAAAATCACGATATTTTCGCACACGTGACACTCTCAGACATAGCACGTGATACTGCAGCCTGTATCACTGCACGCCATACGGTATCTGGAAACATAAGCGGAAATACTGCCGGTATCTGTGATGGAACGTGTTACATCTTCATATGTTACTATGAAAATCGAGTTTCGTATCGTATAACATTCTCTTTTTAACCCTTTGACATATAAATAAGATGCGCGTTCACGCGTCCGTAGAATACCATTTAACCCTTCAGTCGCCATTTGAGAAAATTTCGAAGCTCGATATTCATTAAAATGTCAAATTTTGGGTAATGTAACAGTGTGCGAGGTATCGAAATCAAATAATTCTACGCGTTAATTGTCATACGACTTCTTATTCACTGCTCAGAAAAATATCATCAGCTTTCTAACAGAAAATCTTTGAACTCCTATTCTTCTTTAGCCTAAAGATCGTCGAGTGCAAAGGGTTACTTTGGCTCGACTGTGGACACTCATGTGCAAGTTTAGAAACAGAACGTTGTATTTTCAAATTTACACTGCTATATAATATTCAATAAAGTTGATATATAATGTTAATGTACAATAATTAAGTAATACTATAAAATAATAATTTAGTAGTTCTGTAAAGTATGATACATCTGAAATATGTATTATAGTGTTCGACGTGCGAGTGCTATACTGACTAGCTTTTTCATTGTGCTTTGTTTACTGCTTTGTTGATACGATTTTATTTATTGGTACTGTCAATAGGGAGAAAGCATTTTAAACAAAATAGTATAGTCGCACGACTGAAACATTTAAAGAATCTAATAATATATTGCGTGGTGTTTGCTGAAGATAGTTCTCGACGTCTCGGAGACGTCCAAGTCTATAATGGCACATGAAATGAATGACGTCTTCCAGACGTCATTGTATGTCAAGGGGTCAATCCTTTGCACTCGAGAGGTGAGCTTCAGTCACCATTTCATAAAATTTGGAAGATCGATATTAATTAATATATCAAGTTTAATGTAATGTAACAGTGTGCGAGGTATGTAAATCGAATAATTTTACAATTCTGTTATCGTATAATTCTTTATTTACTGCTCAGAGAAGTATCGTCAGTTTTTTAGTAGAGAATCTTTGAATTTCTACTCTTCTTCAGCCAAAAAATCGTCGAGTGCAAAGAATTAATATCTGTGTGAACGTATACACGATCCTATACGTGATTAACGAATAATTGCACAAATAACATTTTATGCCAAATAAAGGAGGATCTCGTCAACCCTCTATTAGATAAATAAATAAATTACAAATACACAGCTATAAATAAATATACATTATATTTAACGTATTTGGTATTAGGTATACTACATTTAGGTGCAGATTATAGGTTCGCAATTCTAGCGTTTAAGCAAGAAAAGCATGCAAATATGAAAATCGTGCATACATCAAGCGTATAGGGTAGTTAGACGTGACATACTTCTTTCAAATTTACTCACCTATCGAGACTCATGAGGACTAATGTATAAACACTGGCATAGGCAGTGACGATGATGAGGTACTGAACCATCTTGCACCAGATGTTGCCGAAGGGCCAATATGGCAAGACAAAATCGGTCGCAGTGAATGGAATACAAAAAATGACGAACAATAGATCCGCCACGGCCAGATTGATGATTAGGATGTTTGTCGTTGATCTCATGCCAGGATTCGCGGCTACCACGATGACAACCAAAGAGTTCCCGACGAGTCCGAGGATGCCGATCATGCCGAAGAAGATCGGCACCACGATCGCCACGATATTCTCCACTTGCTGACGATCGAAACTATAATCGACGTCTTCGACCAACCTCTGAGTCTTGTTCTGCATTTGGCTCGAGACGTTCGTGAAATTTTTCGTCATCTCGTTCAATGCGAGCTCCATCTCTTGAAGCATCGTGTATCGCGTGCAACGACGAACGAAATTATGGCAGAGGCTAATGGAACTTCGAGTTACCGATCAATTTTAATCGATTTCGTTCAGATCGTGTCAAACGACACAATTGCAAGCTTCGATCCGTGTCTACTCGAATTTCATTTCGATTCTAAGTACGCTCGTGCAAGAGTTGTTCATTTTATCGATTACAGGGTAATTGCATCGCGTTAGTAAGTACAGCCGTTTAAAAAACTCTCCGTATTTTCTATTCCTATAATTTATCCTCGAGCCTTGTAGAAAAGCTATTCGATGTGATACGTTCGACGCGTGTTTTTTCCAAAAATTCTTGATAATTCGTGGAATTTTTAAATATTCCCGATTCCTACGTTTCACGTTCGAGAGACCAAGTATGATTTCCCTTCCACTGATTATGGATCTGGAAAGGAGAAAATGTATTTTATTTGATTAGTTATTAATTATTTTATACTACGAAGCGTTTCTAATTTGAAGGAAATTCATTTCCAAAATTAAGTTCATGTATCGACATTTTGCTGCAACTTCCAGCTATAACTATTTCATAAATATTCAAGAATAACTTCCAGCAGGTCGTTAAAATATTAACTCCGTGTAACACTAACAATCTGTTGCTTACCTGTCGCGGTGTAATTATGTGCAACATTTTATTACGTTATATTATTTTACCATATACCAAGCTATATATCGCTTATAATAATTACACGTGTTCCATTCCCAAATTAAACTAAAATTATTTTTAAAAGACAATTTTTTTCGCTACGATCATTCAAAGACTACTGAACCGGACAAAGATAAATCCAAATGCAACTTTGCTCGTGCAGTGGAATCGTTTGATTATTCCAAGCACCTAACTGGTAGCTCAAATTATCTAGAAACGCGGAGCTTAAATTACGTCAAGACAAACAGCGTCCTGATCCAGATTTGAAATTCGCTAATTAAATTTTGCTAATCCGTCAAAATTTGATTTCCTCAAAAATACGAATACTAAGGGAAGCTAAAGTTAAATCATAAAATATTTTGCAATTGCACGACAATGGAGGAATTTCTTTTGCAGTAAACTTGTCAACCATTTTCGTACAAATGAATACACGATATTCGGTATTTACCACGTCGCGAATAACCAAGTTAATTCTGACAAGATAATCACGATTTAAATCGTCACGGAGGCATCTGGGCTTTAAGAAGTTACTTCTTATCAGATGAAATGACTCGTAGCCTGTCACATCCGAATTGAATTATTTAAGACCCGCTGCTGCAATCACGGGATGCGCTAAGAAGGGTAACTTAATCTCCCCAATCAAAAACTAATTTTTCAATAAGAAACCGAGAATAATGGGCGCGTAAATTGCTGCTCGGCGCGAATTAAAAATATCTCAAACTAGAACGCGGTGCACCTTTTATTCTATATCTCTTTCAAAATTACTCTCTTTGAAATAGATCCACACTTGGCCGAATAAATATTCTCGCCGAATACGCCCGGCGAAAATCTGTCCGGAATAACAAGTCACTGTGCGTTTTAGCGCGTTCCTTTTTCCAATTTCGCCTGCGTAAAAATTAATAAATCTGTTGGTAAAAATCGAAAAGAAAAATGGTGGTAAAAATTGACCCGTTTTGAGACGTGTCTGACTGGTCGCTGTGCCTTATCTAAATTCAGGTCACGCTAAGAGCACGTGCGGTCCCCTCTTTTGTGAATCCGTGAAAAGAGTGCTCTATTTAGCTCTCGTTCTCGCTTAGGCAAATATAAATAATATAATTTCGGCCGGAGTGGATATTCAAAATATTTCTAGGCGAGATTAGAGACGCTGAATATTCCGAGAGCTAGGAAATTTATGATAAAAGCACTCGTTTTACGAGCAACACGCAACATAGAGCGAATACCCCGAGAGGAACAGAGGGTAGGAAGAAGATGAAGTACAATCTACACGCGAGGGTAATAAAAATAAGGAAAATACAGCATAGTTATCGAGTAAATTTCATCTCCGTATTCATCACAGTGCTGTAAATTTTATACGACAATTTCGAGTCGATGAATCTCAAATTATATAAGCTTCCAGGTCAATCAGCGAAGCGAAATGCAGGATGCATACGTCACGCATAATTAGAGATTAAAAGGCATATATCATCCGGAATTAAATTACACTTAATAAGTAGTTATAGTTCATAGTTCACAATGGAACCGTGCGACTGGAAATTAATAATTGTATTCCACGGATTAGAATATAACGCTGCAATTCCGTTGGCGAAATAAATCTTAAACGACGAAACGCGAGGATCCTTCATACGTACTAGCAGTTACTCGAGGTACGCGTCTTATTTTCGTAGTACACGTAAAAAGATTATGGTGCTTCAACTGCCGACGTTCTTTCACCTCGCTGCTCTCTACGTTTTCGAAGAATAAAAAATTTTAATTTGCGCCGCGTTTACTTTAACCCCTTCTATATCCATGCATCCCCTTTTCCTGCAGACCCGATGCCATTTCAACCAACGAGAGCAGTCGATCGTGACAGAAAGTAGGCCTCGAATAGCAAAGAAATTCGATCCTTAAAGCAAGGCGATATAAAGCCACGAATCTTTCAAACGTAATTACGATATATAGATTCGGGCACAAAGAAGCACCCTCCTCGATTTATACGTTATTATCGCACAATGAGTACTCTTACAATGCGTTTCCCATTCTCCCGGCATACCTTCTACTCCGGCACGGACCAATTTATTAAAAAGACGAGGAATCGAGGCTGAGGGAAGAACTTGCATCGATATCACGCTGAATATAAAACGAAATTTCTAAAGCCACAGTCGCGCTGGGACTCGTCGAATATCATAATTTCACGAAGAAAAGAGTTCACGGCCTCTTTCACAGTCTGTAAGCAAAAAGATCGCCGATAGAGCACGTGGCTTGCGTTACACGGTGTTACCGCATCTCGCCTCGCTATTAATGGAATTTACGACGATCTTCATTTAATTACCTTGGCCCTCGCGCGCCGATATCGAGAGAGGGGTGGTTTAACGATCGTCCGCCCTTCCTTTTAGCGGATTAAGGCTGATAAGGTGTAACTGATGCAGATAGATCGATTCATGATTGCTGGTCCAACAGCTGCTAATTGCCGCGACTCCTGCCTGGCAAATATGTCCCTGATGAATATCGTGGATGCACCTTTGCTGCCGATATCATGATGCGCCGAGCACGCCTAAGTGCACGTTTCCTTACACCAAACTTCAGCACGTCGCTTTCACACCTGAATCTACCACTCTGCCGTTACATTTCATCGTACCATCGAATCTACCAACGATTTTACCCATATTCTACTGGAACATCGTCGCGAGCACGAGAGATAAGACAAACGAGAGACAAATTCGAAGAGGAGAAATTTTCACGAGGTCTTCGGGATTTTTTAATTCAAACAGAATCGTGGATCCGATCAATGATACCTTCGTTTCCTTTCCTCTTTTCCTCTCTTTCCTTCTCGTTAATAAAGAACTTCGATTTAATGAGCGCGTTAAACACGAGAATATCAAGCAACTTGCATTCGGTGTCGCACTTTTCTAGGTCACGGTCCCTTGATCGTTCTTGCGTTACAAACTTAAAGAGACGTTACGCCGAAATGCTCGCGAGAGATCTTTCGGAAAACTGTTCACATTTCCCGCACAACTTGCACCACTCGCGCGACTCGAAATTATATCATCCGACAGGACCTCGTGCGGCTCCTCCGACACATTCTAATTGAACAGCCTGTAACGATATTACGAGTTGACCGGAATTTCCTCGGCACTTGAAATGATTCAGAAGAACCTCAGAAAGTTAGCGTCTCGGCGTGAAGTTTCAAAGTACCGAACTTGCGCTTGAATTTCGTAAAAATCATGTTGTTCCTCGGCCTGTCGAGGAAAATTGCGTTGCTCGTGAAGCTATTTAACAGTACATCGACAAGCGTCGTGGACCAGAGATAGAAGAGGGTTATTAGAGATACAAGAGATCTATCGAACGCAGTGACACACGTGCTTGGACGATATCAAAATCGAAATGAAACGCAAAAAGAACCGAGGACGAAACTATCTCTCATCTCGTGGCAAAGTTTTCGTGACTTTCACTTCACTGAAAATGATTTACCGATTCTCTATCATTTACACGATCATTTCTCTCTCTCTCTCTCTCTCTCTCTCTCTCTCTCTCTCTCTCTCTCTCGCTCTCTCGCTCGCTCTCGTTGCAATTCCAGCGCCTTTGCGATTTTTTTTTTTCTCTTTAGTTTAATTCTCACTGTTACGCGGTAAATAACGTAACATGTCTGACGCGTGAGTTTGAATAAAATTTCCAAGGAACTTCTATCGTGAAAAGGGGTATGAAGATACGAAGTGTTTCGAAGACCGCGAGGAAGGTACGCAACCGGCGGTGGATGCGGCACGACTGTGCAGATCGCAGAAACAGAGACGAAGAAATATCGCGGTCGTCGAGTTTACCTGAAACAGGGATGCAGGACTATTCTCGCGGAAAGGGTGCAAGAGGCATCTAGCACCCTTCGCTGAGCTCGCCCGACTTATCGATTCGTTCCCTCGGCCGCTAAAATGGGGATGCGATTGTACCTTCGCACAGTAATTTGCAGATTTTTCATAGGAAAATAAAAATGAAAATTATCCATCAAAATTGCGAGTTCAATTAAACGAGTTTCCATTATTTCAATAAAATGTATCGAAATTAATTATTTAATTTAAAAATAGTTTATTGAATCTTGGAATTTTTCTCATCTTATATCGAGTGAATTTCTTAATTTTTTCGATTTGGAAAATTGAAAGATGATTTTTCGAAATAGATTAGTTACCTATTTGTCATGTTTGGAAAAATTTTTGAAATTTCTCTCCTACTGTTAAGTCTGCGTACTAGCATTGCGACAATCGATAAGGCACGTCTAGTGTAGCGAACGTGGTGTCTAACAAATTCTTTTCTATCTTTTCTTTCATTTGTTACAGAAAATACTGTATAATAATACTGAAATATAATAAAATAAAGAAAAGATTATATATAAAATTATATAAATTTTGCAGTAACATTTCATTATTAAATTTGAGTTTTTGAATATATTGGCGCTGTTAATTGATTTCAAAATAATAGCAGCTACTCTATGAGAATGATACAAATCGCAAATTATTATTATCTGCGACATAACGTAAAACTTTCACGAATATTATTCAGCCGGGAAACAAAAGATTCGAGAATATTGCCTGCATACTAGAATTTTCCGTTGGTTCACAGAGACACCTTCAGTTTCATAGCAACGATCGATCAGATGTTAAACATGCCTAAAATAGTTTGGTTAATTACGCAGGGACTTGTCCTCAAGCGACGTGTCATGAACACCCATTGCATGACAATTAAACAGAGCGTAAGAGGTTATTTAACAAACGTCTCTGCCGAGCACGAGCAGACAAAGTCATCTTCAGTTGCTTTCTTCTTTAATTATAAACAACTATAGTAAGAAGGACAACGCAAAATGTAACAACCTTAGCCTAGAAATGCACCAAAACCTGTACCAGCACGAGGCTACGGCTGCAACAAAAGTGCATCTCGTTAAAGAAATAAACGTCGACAAGGTAACAAATAAATCATACGTTTAGCTCAAGAATTTATTTCTACAATTTACCAATAGCTTCGCTTGACATAACTCAATATCAATTAACGTATCTGTTAGTATCGCCGCAAGCAGTAGCTACTACGATTAAGTATAACACGTATCAGATACCGTTAGATACCCGTTAGCTAAAAATTCTAAAGCTAATGTCTTCCTGTGACTTTATCTATGATCGCTTGAGTTAAAACCTTTCCAGCAAGATCTTTAGCAATATTAGTCAATTGATCCCCAAAGTTAGGTTTCCTAGTAGTTGGAGGATAATACCCTTGCTGATATCCTGGTGGATACCCTTGTGGATACCCTTGAGGCGGATATCCCTGCGGATAACCCTGCGGGTAACCCTGTGGATAGCCCTGTGGATAACCCTGTGGATATCCACCTTGGTTATACCCAGGATAGTTACCATACGGGTCAGACCGGCTAGGATATCCAGACTGTGACGGGTACCCAGAATTTTGACTCGGATAGCCGCTTCGACTAGCTTGGCCTTGACTAGCTTGCCCGGGATACCCAGCATTCACCGATTTAACATCGACCCTCCTAACGCTATCCTCGTTATTCGAAGAGCTACTGGGATAACCAGAGCTCGACGGGTATCCTTGAGAATTCGAGGAAGGATACGAGCTAGTAGGATAACCGGAACGCGATGGGTAACCAGATCCACCAGGGTACCCAGACTCTGATGGATAACCGGAAGAGCTTCTTGAAGGGTAGCCAGAGTCCGATGGATAGCCGGAATAACTCCTCGACGGATAACCGGAAGCAGACTCCGAAGGGTAACCAGAACTTCTCGAGGGATATCCTGGATAACCCGATGAACTACTTCTGGAAGGGTAACCAGAGTTCGAAGGATAACCCGAGCTAGACGGATAACCGGATGACCTGCTCGAGCTGTCAGCAGGCTTTGGCTGACTCTCTGAGGATGGATAACCACTTTTGGTAGAGTCGCTGCTAGGGTATCCGCTTCCAGAAGGGTATCCCGAGTGCTGGCTCTTAGTCGACTGGACGTCAGGTGCAGACTCCACTTCGCTGGCGCTACCCCGTTTTCTAAATATCCTGTTGTCCCCGTCGAACTCTGCGAACAATTCGTCATCTACCTCCTAATTCCTGAGAAATGTTCATTCCCGGACTGTGCCCCATGCCATGCCGAGTCCAACTCAATTGTCATCACTTCCGTGATGTTCGGCAAGCTTTGCAGTCGCAGTCCTGTATGCTACTGCCAATGCTTGAACAGCTTGTGTTGTTTCCATTAGTATGTTATTAAGGCTAATTGTATAATTACGAACGCAAATGTGTTTTGTCGTATTAATATCCTAATATCCGCCTATAATTTTTATTGCTCGTTTTGTTACTGTTTGGAAGCTAGAGGCTATGCGACTATAGTTAGGTTAGACCATGCAATTTCATATTTCTAGTGTTCCGTTTGTTAAAAGTGGCGTTGAATTAACGAAAATCAATGTGTGACGATAGATGATTCACATTTATGTGCGACAATTTCCTGAACAGAGTGAAAACATTAAACTCATTAGGTATATAACACTAAATTTATTAATCTAATTGACAACTCCTGCCTACAGTGTTATCTGTGTCTAATGAGATAAGTGCGTAATTAAGGAATCTTTGGAATCAGGTATGCCCGTGAAATGCTGAAGGATTACATATATTTAATACATCTGATTATTACATAGAAAAATATTTTAAATGCTCGTTAAGTACTGCGTGTAATGTCAGTATTCTATATATATATATGACACTGAGAAAGAAATCGCAGTTATGCATAAAACAATAAGACACTCGACCTTGTTAGAATACTCGATAAGATAAGAAAATGAATCAATTGGATATTAAGCTGTCAAACAAGAGATTGGAAAATGTACACGCCTCTTCTACACGTGTTTTGCTATAACTGCAGTTTCCAGATCAGAAGATAGAGTTTGGTCCTGAAGTCGCAAGTATAAGGCAAGTAATTCGCAGAAAATTCTGTTTAACCAGAAAATCTCCAGACTCTGTTTCCATGTTCATCGACGGAAGTGTGGCTAGTGTGATAACCACCGGCACCTGCCTGAATACGGCTCCTAGGAGTGGTTACACCATGAGATCCATAAATACGATCATTCCCGAACAAACGGCTAAAAATAGACCCATTTCCAATACTGTTTCTTGATCCCGAGTTACCGCTGACTCTTCCACCAAATCCGTTGGAAGTAGACCTTGGTGGCGGAGTGGGCGGAGTTGGCCTAATCTTGCCTGGTCTTCGTGTCGGATATGCTGTCAAATTGGAGAGTGGTAGTCATGCTTAAAAGTGAACGAAATTTCACTATCCGAGAGAATCATTTAAGAATTTCATTCTAACGAGGCGATCAAATATTACGTTACGTTAAATTATTACATATAGTACTCGTAACTTCTATTAAAGATAAGAGATACATACAAATTGTTAGTTAACGTTATTATTACATGCCGATGTTAAGATCAACGAGTAATCGTAGATATTTTTCTGAAGCATGCAATTTAATAATTATCTGATCTTCACTTTCAACTTCCACTCTTCAATTTGTCTTTTCCAGAGGGAAAAATATGAATGAAAGACGGCTAAAAAATATTTGTTATTTGCTGTTGCACAGATGCCACTTCCAGCTGAATTCTGCGGCTAAAATGTTAATGAACGCCAAGGGAGGAAAGGGGAAGAAATTGTAGCTGAAATTACGCGACATAAAGTAAAAGATAAGTGACTGTTTCGAAAAATACGCAAATAAAGAAGCAAATTATGCTAAAGCGAAATTAGAAGAAAAATAGGGATCTTAAAATAACGGTGAGTCGTGATTCTGAGAACGAATTCGTTCCAGAACGAAAGTGCGAGAGCGATATAAGGAGCAATGACAGAGACGCCGATAAAAGGAAAATGACGGTTTGTCAGCTAAGAACTGTGTGACCTACAAAGTACTTCTACGTCGCTGAAGTAGATAAGAGGTGTCAGGGTTCGACACGATAACGAGATCAGTCGGTGTTTGCTACGTCCACGAGAAATGAATTCTAGAGCGCAGTTCCCAGTCAACTGCAGCCTAATGTAACGAGAACGGATGACAGGTAGTTGCATTAAATCTAGCATGTTGGTAGAAATAGAATTACTTTTATTCCGAGGTTCGCACAATGGTGTCGATTGCGGTATAGGAACATTATAAATATATATTTCATGCAAACAGACATGTCGATATAACAGTTTTATTAACGCAAAAGGGAAAAGAATAATTCATCGGACGGCAAAAATACCTGTCTGTTCTGTTCGCATCGAAAACGTGTCATCGCGTTACCTAGCTGTGCAGCGTGGAAAAATATACCATACATGCACGCGAATAATTTTGCACTGTTCTTCAATGAAACGTATATATTAGCTAATTATCTTCACAATCGATTAAACCCCGTGCTATCAGGTACCAAGTTAATCGATTCATCGTGATCAGTATACTCGAGGAATTTGTCCGCTCAGGTACTTGATGATATGTCATTTCGTATTTTTCTGTATCATTGGAAGCAGATATTAAAAGGGCATATCGATGGAAGAACTGGGTCATCAAATACTCGAGTAAACTGTGAGTAAGGTGTACATACATCGAAAGGAAGAACTTTCATCTCGTACAGCATGCTTTTAATTAGTCTGTAGCGACCATCATTCTCACCCTTGCTGCTAGAAGGATTCCGCGAGAAAGTCCTCGGAAAACCTCCAAATCCTATATATATAATTTCCCAATAGTTATTCCTAGATATATAACCTCCCAATAGTATTCTAGTCTAAGGTAGGGCCTGCTAGGGTAGCCTTACTGATGAGTCCGCTAGCAGGCCCAGGACGAAACGCATCCCTTCCTTTTTGCTACTGTCCCTTCTAGCCACGCCATCACCACGGAGGATACCTGTGACCGAACCAGTCCTAAGACGACCCTGAGGGAGGACCCCTACAAGTCTAACGCATGTTTAGCATCCAACGTGTTTAAAAATCTTAATTCCTATGATTGCGACACCTAATTACCTTCCATGCATCTCCGTTTTAATCATAAGCGCGTCACGAAAGGACCAACATTGTGCTGAACGATATGGAAGGCACGTAATGCATTATGCAAATTATGACGTGGTAATTATAATTTTAACAGCGGATGTCTTATGAGAACAAGATAACGTGTCGAGCATTTGAAGACGGAAAAGAAGGATTAAGAAAAGACATTATTTTAAGCAATATTCGTTTGAAGCGCCTAATAATTTTGTTAATGCTTCCTTTCTACCCACACTAAGTGATAACTAATTATTAAATAAAAATATTCACGTATATTTCGTTTTTGGCATGAGACAAGAGACAGCGTTTCGCCACGCTCGAACGGTTAAAGTGATAGGAATGTAGAAAAATAAATTAGTAAGAGTAATGGACGTTAAATTATTTATACTCAACGAAAAAAAAAAAAAGAACAAAAAGAAATCTCCACAAATTATACGATAGACGAATCGTTGGCCATCGGGATAACCTCTTGGCATGCCAAACTCTAACATTACCTGCAGCTATTGGACGAAATCGGTGAGAATTTGCAATCTCTTTTCATTGTTACGTGTACAAAGAAATACAATAACACTACGATATCTCTATTTGCGAACGGTGGTCAGACGAACAAAAGTCTGCCGCGAGATTCTCTTCTATTACTTCGAGTCAGGTACGCCTGATCACGATCTGTTCACGAGTACCGCGACGTAGCTCGCTAAACAGATAATCGCTAAAGACGGAGACTGCATGATCGAGGCACTCCTCCGGTAACCGGAATAGGCGTTATTGTGGAGCATGCGATTCTGATTACGATTATTGCCGTAAGGATAATTCTGGTATCCGGGATACTGCTGTGGATATCCTGGCTGAGTTGGATAGCCAGGGTACGCGGGATACTGGCCAGACTGAGCAGGATAAGCGGGCTGTCCAGGCACCGGCATCCTGTTTTGCGTTGGATACGGCGGATATCCCAGATTCTGTTGCCGATTTTCTTGGTTCGTCGAGGGATAAGGCGGATAGCCGCTGTTAGGAACGCTTTTACCAACGGATGGTGGATATCCGCTGATACCACTGCTGTTACTGGGATAGGCTGGTACACCCCACGTCTTGCCGGAATTCACGTGATGACCTTCTGCTGGATCAGCAGGCTCCGGGGGTGGTGCATTAGCATTCGCGTAAGGGTTCGCATTGCTAGCGCTGTTGCTGGTCTTATCGAGCTTGTCGTTGGTGCTGGTTCGATATCCGTTTACGACAGAAACGCCAGCCGACTCGTATCCTGAAAAGATCGTCCCCTTCTGCGTCCGTATTTTATCTTCGGGATAATACCTCAAGCATGTCGAGGGGTTTCAAACGAAAGAAAGAACGGGAAAACACAATAGCAGTTTCATTCTAATACGTGGGAACTCTGGTTAAGGCCAACTACACGCATTCCGATTAAGAACCTTCCGTTGGAAATTGGGATTTCGGTGTGACTCGGTTTTAATGGAGTTAGCTGGGCGGGGGTGCTGCGAGAATTTCGAAAATTGTGCATGGTTACTTTCATCCACCGTTATGTACGCAGAAGTAATTGGAAAGCGTTAAAGGTGCTAGGTGGAAGGACATGCCACATGCTACCAGGCGATCAGGTGTCGTAGAAAAAAGAATTAGGAAAATTATCGGGGCCCCGTGCATAAAAGGTTTTCGGTTAACCTGTTCCACGAAATTACCCGTTATAGGCGAGGAAAGTTATACAGAGCGGTTGATAGATTAATATTTTAAAATATTATTCCACTTTCGTGGAACGAGAGAATTTTAACGTAACGTATAAAGCATACGCTCGAAGTCAATTTCCCCTGCAACTAGAACAATACACTTTTTCCTTCATATCGACAGGACGCTAAAAGTTTATACGTTCGAGAGCAATTTCTTCAAAATCCTATAACGTCATGCGAGTGTATACGCGTATCTATACGTTTGCGCGTAGGAAGACGATAATGGAAAGGTCGTGTTCGCAAAAGTTAAGAAAAGAAAAAATCTGCTGTACAGGTTCTTGGGGTTCGCGACCCCGCGTTACATCCCACTTTACACCCACGGATACGTTTCCAAAATTACCGAAATTCTATACTATTTTCCTCTCAGGGATTTCGTTTTACCTTCGAACCTTGGAGCTCGCAAATTCGTGGGAAATTTATCGTATCCAATCTTTACACCCTTACTTCGCACGCCAATGCGATATTTCGCGGTGAAAAGTACTTTTGTTTCAACGAGAAAATTATTTTTTAAATTATACCGAAAGAAATTATTCGTTATGTAGATTAATTTGAATTTATACGATACGAAAGATTTAAAAAGAAAGGACAACGATTCGTATGGAAGACCGGGCACGGTAATCAAGATCAAGTACACCGGAAGTTTTAATAAAACGTACACGTGACAATGTAATTTGCACTGGAAACGATTCGAAGGTACATATCCATATGAAGACCGTGTTATTACCGCTTCAATCACGTCTAGTTGCTACACGTGCGAGATTAAAGAGAAAAATTTTAAGGTGAGACACTCGAGCACCATGCTCCGTTATTTTGAGTTAATTAGAAAATCAGAAAATGAAAAAATAATTCCGCTGAAAAAATAATTTAACAGACATGCGAGTGTGCAAATAGGAAGAAAAGCCTGACAGATAGCTCTGCCATTCGTCATAACGGAGAGAGAATTACAATAGCTTAAAGTCCCATTAGCAAATATTGAAATTACTTAGCAAATTTGGTATGAATATGAGATTTTTTAATACGAAATTAATAAAAGATATCTGATAAAATTGTTTTCCACGATTCATAGCGTTCTGCATAATATTAATCTGCAATACGTTTAATAACGACGCTGTTCTAATCCAAAATACATATTTAAGTATAATGTACAGAGAGCGAATAATAATAGAAATGCAAAATAATGAAAACGAGGAAAATAAATGGGTAAATATAATTACGTTTCTATCTCGCTGAAGATTAATATCAATTTGTCCGAAAGCAGTTGCACATTTTCGGCAATTGAAAACGGAAAAAGTTTGAAACCAGTCATTCTGACTCGTTTGGTAACTCGAATGTTAAATCGAGTGGAACAATTTCGCCTACTATTGTATTCCTCCCTCGCATATGCGATTCGGTTTCATACATTTTGCTCGCCGTACAACTGCCATGCGCTAAAGTTTTCATGCTAGTCAACCAGCGTGCACGCATAATCAATCACGGTACTGGATAGACGAAAAACGAAAGAGTTTCAAACACTCACCGATTCCTGTTGATTTCTTCACGCATTTTGGCATGCCATTCTCGGTTTTGCAATATTCATTTTCGTCACACACGGTACTCGCGCAACTGGCCCCTACAAACAAAGAATACTAAGTATTCTTCCATCCACATTTTTATATACTATTAACCCTTTGCACTCGAGAGGCGCCCTTCAGTCGCCATTTGATAAAATTTCGAACATCAATAATAATTAATATGTCAAATTGAAGATAATGTAACGATGTGAGAGGAATCGAAATCAAATAATTCTACGTGTTAATTATTATAGATTTTTTATTTACTGCTCAAAAAAATATCGTCAGCTCTATAGTAGAAAATCTTTAAACTCCTATCCTTTTTTAGCCAAAAAATCGTCGAGTGCAAAGGGTTAATTCCAGTCGTATTATAATAACATTATAACAGTAACTGCACGTAACACACACGTTGAACTATGAAATATTGTGTATATCAAATACGAATTTTGAATATTAGTTGAAATGCGAAAATGGATATAACTATTGCATCTAATGTACATACAATTTAGCAAATTATTTAATAATAATTACATCGCAGCCAGACGCAATTGACTGACACAATTCATTTCGAATTTACTGATATATGAAAGCACTATTGACTAGTAATAACAAAGGGCTATTTATTAGCATTATCAATCATAAAGCGGGTAAATTTCGTATGCAGTCGATGGATAACTTATGCACAATAAATTAAAGTGTAATGAGCCTGTAATTGGCTAAAGAGAAATGGAACTATCGATAATTTATGTGTCGAAAGGAATGGAAACGTTTACGTTACACACGTCCTAATTCAAGATATAATAGGTTACAATTGATCAGCAACGTATTCCAAACGTTATCACATACGTCGATGGTAACGGTATTGTGCTCCAAAATAATTTCCATTAAAATTACGATAAATATGGATTATCGTGTACCGGTTTGCTCGATAAGTCGAAATAATTGAACATTGCGTTACATGATCTCGTTAGGTGATACCGTCATCGATAGATTATTATCTATATCTATACGATGTTACGTCAATGCGATACACACAGCTTAAATCAAAAATCGCATTAAATTTATATTCAAAATCATTGATTCGCGAGTATGCGAGATTGACACTGAAACTGCCGAATTAGGATAACTGCTGCGATATGTCGAACGTAAATAAGTATATTTAATCACGTTTCCATCCCCGTTTATTAATTTCCAAAAATTTTGAAAAATCAGGTTGAAAATAAGATACGTCTTAACGTATATACAAAAATCGATCAATTAGGAGAAATAGATATATTTTCAAGAGGTTCCGGAAATGTGTGAAGTGTTTATTTCACACGTTAGATAAAATTTAGGGGACCAGGAGGACCTGCAATCGCATACCCTTTTTTCCTTCATATTAGTTTTGGTCAGAATACTTGAAATATACCTTAGGAGAGAATAAAGATAATTATAAAATGCAGATAATTATTTCTCTTTATCCATAATCTCAATAAATAAAATATCCGAAACTATTTGTCTCGACACAATTCCAATGTTCATAAATTACTGCCGAATTAGGATAACTGCTGCGATATGTCGAAGGTAAATAAGTATATTTAACAACGTTTCTATCCACGTTTATTAATTTCCAAAAATTGGAAAAATAAAATATCCGAAACTACTTGTCTCGACAGATTTCCAATGTTGATAAATTACCAACGACAAGAAGCATCATAGAATCCCATTGATCGTTCGCCTAGATACCTTCTCCTGCAATTCCCCTCTCCCCTCGTCTCTCTCAAGCACTCGCCGACGAGACGAGACTCGAAAAATATATATTTATGGAAAGGTCAACAACATTCTTACCGCCTGGATGAGATTTTTCGCAAGTCGGATAAAGGCCGCATTTATCTCGTTGGTACAACGAGCAAGGATCCTCGGCCATCACGCAGACCTCGTCCCTCATGCAACCGATGTCCTTGCATGTCCTGCCGTACTCTGCGAAGCAGACAGAAACCATCTTGTGAGTTTTCGCTTAGTGGGGAAAGTTGGAGTAATAAGCCATGATCTCGCGATTGGATATGGTTCATTAAAAGTTCGCCTGGAGAAAGAGACGTGTCATAAATGAAATTTATATCGGGCACTCTGATACTCCTGGCCAAATGGGTCGTTCGGAAGCCTTAATTTCGGCTTGTGCGAACAGACTGCGTAAACGATGCGCAGTTGGCCGAGAAGTATCAACATTAAATATTTACATGATCGTAGTTTTACGACGAACCAGGCAAAAGTATCTTTCGTGGATCGTTAACGTTATTAGGCTTTATTGCTTCGCTCGAAGAAACGCGCAATCCCTTGGCCTGCTTGTTTGTACATTTATACATAGAGTGACGTTCGAGAGTGTAATACGTTGTGACACCAGGAAGGTAAAAAATATTTATTCCCAAGCTATTATTATCCAGATTGCTTTTTCATCGTCCAACGGTATTAACAACGTGGCTGTAGTGTCGAGACTTGTTTTAAGATCATACAGTCTTATATGACTAACCGTGTAACCCGAAACTATCAGAGGCAGTAAGTATATTTACGTTTTAAGTGACTTTAGCTCGATACTCTGCAACGCAAGTTAAATTCCTCTAAAACATCAAACAGAAGCTGAGCAACTGAGTAACTGAACCTGCTGTTTAGCGACTGCAACGCGATAAACAACTAAATACCTATCTCTGATCAATCCTGTAATTCTCCGTGCACATCCTTGACCGCAATTAATAATTACACGTCTACACCTACGTTCGAATTACACGCTCTCCGATATCGCGTTTCCGACTATATCGCTAAAGAAATGATCGAGCACGGTATAGAAATCACGTTGATCTAATTTGCAATTTCATTTGCAATTACACGATCTTGTAATTGTATCGACGAGACTCGACTTTTAATCCATATAACAGCGAGTATTATCCAGGAGAAAATGAACGGCGCTTCTCGTTCCACTGCGGCAGCAGAAAGGACGCGTTTCCCTATTTAACGAATAGCGTCGTGAAAGAAAGTTTCTTGCACTGAAAATACAACTTGCAGTGCACATTTACCTGACGTTATCCAACCAAGCCTCGCATCGGCGTAACGCTGCTAATCGTAATTCTATTCAAGCACCACAGCGTCATCCCCATATAACCCCATCGATTCTCAATTATCCAGCGGCGAGAGAAGGAGGAAGCCGGAAAGAGGAGTGAATGGAAGAGAGAGAAAGCGAAGCAGCTGCCGAGTTAACGCCCAGCTTCGTGTTATCCACCTCTGCCTACGTGTTGGAAGGGTAGGAAGAAATGGAATAAAAGGGTGCGCGCAGGCAGAAAGGGAATATTAAAACTAGGCTAATGATCCTCTCTCTAATTGTCCTTAAACGTTTATCATATTCAGGAATAGAAGGAGGGACTCGAACGGAGGACCCGTGGAAACAATGAGGGCATTGTAAGGATAAAAATGATCCTTGAACGATGCGTGGTGTTAGGTGATAACGCAAACGACGGACAGGGATGAAAAATCAATCGAGACTGAGCGAATAACGCGTTTCGATTAATCGTGTGTGCAACTGAAACGTGCATACGCGGTTATGGTAGTCACATTTTGCACGGACATCAATTCAACAGTAGCAATTAAGGTCAGGAAATTAATTATATCCATTTGCCGAAATGTATTGCAATTCTCGTGAAATAATAATACGCAGGTTCTTCTGCTCAACGAGTCGCAGAATGAGCGAAGAAACACACGTATACACGCACAAGATCGCTTTGTACTATTTTATAGCGATATTATAACGAATTTGACAAAACACGAAACGATGCAACTGTTGCGCAATTTCAATTAGCGCGCAATCAACATGTGCTTCCTCCGTTTGCAATAATCGCACGGATTATTTCCTTACTTTCCTATGATTGCCCGATTTTAATATCAAATTGCTAAAAAGCATTTAGGATTAACATTGATACGTTCTGTCAGGTGAATAATATTCCGTGCATTTCGCGCATGTTTCCGGCCAATGAATAATTACGGATAAAAAGTTTTTCATCTCGACAATTTCCAAATGATTTTCCAGATATTCATCGGCTAACATTTCATTAGAGTAACAAAAAGTTTCGCAGAAAAATCCAGCGAGAAGTTACGGAACAGTTTAAAAATTACTCCGACCAACTACACCCGTTTTTAACAGAAATTAAGTTTTTCAACTTTAACGCGACAACTTTCCTCGCGTTTCAAACTCGCTGTCGCGTAATTAATGAATGAAAAATATTCCGATTAATCTCTCTCGGCTACTTTACATGTATATCAATTATACGTGTATCTATTAACAAGCTATTTCATTTGGGAGAAAAATTGGTAAATGTCAAGGACGCAATTAATAAGATATCTTCGTTACTGAAGCGAATTCGAATATGCAAATGGACTGTTTCCAGCTCCCAACGAGCGCTATCGGATTACGTAAAGTCAGTACACCAAGATAATTCTCGTATGATAAACGAACACTATACGATACAGTTGTGATCTCATCTTGAAATTATAATACACCGAATGCCAGGAAAACAAATAACAAAATGGGGATTCGCTTGTATAAGCATTTGAAGAGAGTCGTTGTTAATATTCGCACAAAATATGAACAATTTCGAATGACTTCGAATAGATTCGAGATCGAACATACTGGTTTTTAAATCTTGGTTTCCATCGTGGTTTCCTCTTCCTGGTTTAACAAGATTAGGAAGAAGAAAAAGACCACGATTACCACGAAGGTCGACGTAATTACATTCGTCGAGTTAGAGATTAAAAACGATCATTTGTTTCCATTAAGCCCACTTAATCCCGATCAAACGAAACGATTGGCCATAGCAATTGAATTGTAATACCGAGATTTAAGCTGGATTATAATACTACAATCTGTAATTAGAAATTCAAATAATTATCGCGAATATACGATATCGAACGATTCCTTTTGCAATAACGACATGCTTGGAATTTTAATTGCTGTGATTCATACAAATGGTATCTCGTTACTTTATTCTTACTTTATCAGTTTTGAAAAATTGACCTGTGTTTTAGAAAATTAAATCAAAGGAACAAATTTGTAAGAAGTGATCTACTTTAAATTATTCGTTTTTCACTTACTGCTATAGGAGGCTGCATCGGGAATCGAAGAGATAAGTAAAACTGTTCCCAGTAGGACACCCAGTGCAGAACTGGAAAACATTTTCTGTAACAGAAAATATTCATTTTTATAATCAACGTTTACGTGCATCCCCTTTCCTGCTAAATAATTTTTGCATTCAATTTAATTGTTATTAAAATTAATGAATATTGCGCTCATTCGAATTCAATTACATTTGTAATTCCGTGGGACAAGTATTCATAAAATATAGAATGCCAAATGATGGAACGAAAATCAAATTTTTAATTCATTTGGGAGTACGTATCTGCAGTACAATATGCATAAAACAACATGAAGAATATATACGGATCATATGGACATTGCAATTATAATATGCAATATTTTATAGAGTCGATTTCTCACTACATATCGGTCAGAGAAAAATAAACATCACGCGACATACTTCTGTGTGTTTATATTTGAGATAAGTATGTACCTTTGAAATATCAAATATGTAATATTAATTAATAGAAACACGCAATTATACGGATATACACATAGCATAAAGTAAATCCAATTATAACATTTTTTTTAAATATATATGAATTTTCATAAATATTTAAAAATATCATAAATCGATTTGCACATGATACGCACATTTTAAATATGGAAAATATTTTAAACGAAACAGCGAGAAATCGTACTCCAAATTATCTATACTAAGAAACGCCAAATAAGGAAAAAATTGTACACACTGATAAACATCAAATGAAAATATGACGAAAATAAATTACAACGTCAGAAGATACTTGTAAAATAAATATGATAATAATAAACGAATCCAATACGTGAATCACGAAAACGAATAATGAAAATTAAATTCGTTTAAAACTTGAGTTGAAATTGCGATGCATATAGTCAGTCGTGCAAGTGTCTCTGTCCCTCGTCTGTCCTTGTCTCTCACTTCCTAACCTCACTCGTCATTCCTACGTTTGCACGAGTACAGCTAACCTCAAACGCGCCCAACGCTTCGTAGTAACAAATGTCGTATATATATCTCGAGCGTGAACAATAATCGACTGAAATTGCTAGTAATTCAAATATCTAACACTGAACAACATTTGCGACACGGAATTGACGATCATTCAATGCAGTGACCTTGAGCAATCACAGGGAAATCGTAAATTGCGTCGTTCCTTGCAACCAGCTATTTCACTTTACACTGTCCTTTATATACGAATAATCGAGACGTAAACACTTCTGAGAGACGTACAGCAATAATATTATACCAATAAACGATGCAAAATTACCTAAAGGATTTCACTCACTACAGTTGCAAACGTCTACTCCAATACGTCGTCAGTATAACACTGAACATTCGCTGAAACGCTGTGCCGTTACTGACCAGACGTTGGCGTGAGTCGGACAAAGATGAAGTCGCACGCGAGGGACAAGGAGAGCGATAGATACCGAAAAAGAGAAGTGACATGGCGCGAATATGACGTAAAAGGAAGTAGAATACTATGTTGAGCGTAAATAATCGCTTTAATCACCAGAAAAAATAAAAAAAATGCGGTCTTTGAAGCGGAGCTTCGTTTCGCTTTCGCGAATAACCTCAAAAAGTGGCGATAAAAGTATAATGCGATTTTCTGCAATCATAAAACTACTTCGAGGATATTAATTTAAAACTCGTTAAATTTACCCCGCCATTTTTGCTCATCAGAGAAAAATTTATAGATTGGAAAAATTTCAATAGGAAAACTTGCGAAAAATAATTTTAAAAATCAAACAGAAGTTAATATCGATACAAAATTCGAGGTAGAGACTGAATCATATAGTTCAGCATTGCAATTCCATGATGTCACTATCTCGTTAAGTAGTTGGTAACGAAGTTTTCTTAAACAAAGCATGGACAAAGAAATACTTCCCGTTTCATAAAAAATTCCATTTTTAAACTCTCATAGCATGCAAAATATTGAAAAACTTTTTAATATTTTTAAATAACGAACACGATATATATTCCTTTTATATTTTCCGCAATTTTCTAATCTCATAATTATTGCTTAATGAAATAACAAGTTCTTATGCAATTTGAAATCGTATCCCATTACGAAGCGACATTGTTGTGTAATCCATCGCACGTTAAAGTGCCATAATTACCTATTTTATAGAGAAGTTTATCCTATAGCACGTACCGTCAAGAATTTAATATCTATTTAGCGTATGAAAATTAATTCATCATACAGCAGCGCATCTTTTGAAGTTGTCATTATGTAACAAACGATATGGGAATGCAATAGAGAAAGAAAAATGCGAAAAATTGCCTTATCTCGGTCACTATCACGCATATTAATCGTGGATCAAAGTCTGATCGCAACATTTACAATTTATTCTCCTATTAAATATAATCTACGTATATTAATATTTCCACATATTTATCTGCAACTTCTCGTTCGTTTAATCTCTGCGATCGTACAGCACAATTAAAAGCATCGTGCGTTGTAAATAATTTTGCTCCAACGTCTCTTTTATTCTACTTCCTTTTATTTTCCTTGTTCGCTCGTTGGTCTATCATTTCGCCTTCGTGATTTCATATCGGTGTCTGCGAAGAATAAGCTCGTGGACGAGAATCCGCTGGTATCTCACGCGTCAAACTGTGTTTGTCTCGAGGGATAATCTTCCGGCATTCTCCGACTTCTTCGCGTTTATATACTGTAATACTCGCTAAACAGAAACATTAAAATTGTAGTATCGTTATTTTAAAGAGCTCGTAAAGGAAGAAATAGCAAATAGGAACTAGGCACAAAGGAAGACCTTCCGATGACATAAAAATGGTCGAGTTAATCATGGTTGGCTCTGAACAAGGGACGGCGTGTCCAGATTACTAGGAAAAGGTAGGAACGAGAATATCAAAAGACAGAAGTGCATTCAATATTCTTATTATACCATAAATAGAAAGAGGACTGTGAGAATTATATCGATTCGAATATTAGCTGGCATTTGTTATTACCATTAATTTGAATGAACTCTATTTACCACCAAATAAATTTCAACGAGTATTTCGCGTCACTGAAGATTGATATGACATTTCACGATGGCTTTCAGGGTATTTAACGTTGAAATTACTGTTATTCGCAACTATTTGTTGTATACTTATATTAATGTGCCACGGTGTAATTACAGTATCAAAAGTTCGTAACGAGTAAGGCGGAGAAGTCGGAAGGTGTACTTAAGGAATTTATTAAGGAAACGGTTAGTAACGATCACGAAAGTCACGAAAATCAAATGTACAAAACCTGAAACGTTCCTCTTTCATGCGACTAGAAGGTTCTTCGAATGGCGACCTGAACTTTGCTCCTTCTAAATGAGCTTGGAATTTAATATCGAGAGCCGAACCGAGTCCCTCCATCGATGATAAATATCTCCATTTATTCGCCTAACTTTTACGTCTTCCACCATACTCGCAGTCCCTTTAAGTCAACGCAAATCTCGCCTCTGATTTATCAACCCCTTGGAACCGCAATAGCCCGAATAATAATGGAAGAAAATATTTTCAGCGTGATCAAATGTAGCTCTCCCCAGTGGATCCTCAGATCGTGCAACTTGCCAGCTAACACGTCCCGTGAAAAACGATTTACGTCAAGCTTTCATCCGACTGTCCGCTACATTTCCAAACTCGCCTCTACAGTTTCCGCAGTCACGTTTGCCGAGAAATCTCATCGACAAGGAGTTCCGTCAAACCCTCACGTGTCGGAACGTTTCATCCACGTAGAAGATCCCTCTGCGTTGGTCCGTGCTCTTCAATGGCAGGATGTTCGATCTGGAGACTGCGCAGAGGTGCTCCTAGTTCGACACTGGGGATAGAAACCTTGTATGGAGGGAATCCGGGGGTACTTTCGTAGAAACCCTTTTGCAGGATGAACGCTTTGGTGGTGGTTACCCTCACAGTCACGCGCACTGAGGTCGTTTCCCTTTCCTCTTACCCTCCACATGTACAACCTCACGCATGCTACTAAAATACACCCTCTCTGTCTTTTTTCATTGTTTCCTTTCAGTCGCACGTTTGCTCACTGTACACGCTCTCCCTTTCCATCCTTCCATCCAATAGATTTCATATCACGGAGCTTGCCACGTATCATCTTCTGCACTCATCCGCGCGGCTGCATAAAAACCACGAGATCTCGTCTCTCTTCCTCTCGTCAATCCTTTCTAAGAAATTACGAGTAGCATTCGGAATCTCCTTTACGATTCATCCTATGTTTTAAACTTCATCCTCTCTCCTACGTCTGGTTAAACATTTCTCGATACTTTTTGTTTCCTCTACCTCGTATCTCGAACCGGTATTTCCTTCGAAACATACACACGAGCCGATCTACCTTCCGCTCGCCCTATTCCGCGTTTTACTTTCAAAGATTACTTTCAACCCTGTCGTTTTCCCTTTTCTCTTTTTCCCCATCGCTAATCTCTCCTTTGCGATACCCTCCACCGGCAACTCGGGAGAATACGTTCTCTTCCCGCCGGTGAAAAATAGCAACATTCCGCTGTAGTTACTACTCTCTACGTTATTTTCCCCCAGCCGCTTCCGAATGTTGAAATTATCACTTTCCGCGCTTACGGTAGCGGACGTTAGGGGTGACAAAGTGGATCAGCGATGGTCCAAATGCCTTCCATATCCTTTGCGCTTCTTCTTCCGAGATTTCGCTGCGTTTCTCCCGCGTGTATGCGCGCGCGTCGCGCCGCGCTTTCGAGAGGGTGCTGCGCGGTCGACGGGCGTCGTCCGGTAGTCGAATTCGTCGCTTCCTCCAGGTAGGTGCGCTCGTTCACCCAGTGACGAACCAACGCTCATTCCTCCGCGATCCTTTAAAATCTCCACGGAGGACCGTCGGCCGTGGGGTGGGGGTGTGCACCCCGTTTTCTTCTCGAACGAGCATTCAGTGTTGCTTCGCGGTGCACGAGTTCGCGTTAACGATCGAGGAAGCGCGGTACTGCGAGTGTCGCAGCGCCGTGTGGACTCTGCTGCAGTCAGTGATCGTGGAGGGTACTGAGAGCAAAGGGGTGAGAGAAAAGGGATGATCGTAGGTGCGCGCGCGAGAGAGCATCTTACGGCTCCTCGTGAAGAGGCTGCTTCCTGGGGAAGGAACTGAGGACAGTGTACCGATCGGTTGTACAGGCCCGTCGAGGAACTTCAGGTATGTTTGAGGAACACCGCTAGCAATCGAAAGCCACGATAGAGCTACGAGTATGTTGATCTTTCGCCGATCGTCTTCCACTTTTCCCCCAGATTTTTCTCGCAATCCTCCGGATAGGTCACCGTTTCCTCTCTGTAAGCGGATAGAACGCGTGCACGGTGTTAAAATGTAGGTTAGAATTAAAACTACCGACGCGTGCCACCGCTTTTTCCCACTCGTTTTTCCACGCTTTATTTTCTTCCAGAGTTTTTAGTCGCCACGAACCGCTTCAGCGAACGCCGACTGAATAAATACGGCTTCCCGTGTAAACGTTGCAAGGTAGGTTTAGCGTTGTACGAACGGTGTTTAAGTGACTGCTTTCGGCTTTTTCTTCTCTCTCGTCCCTTCCCGTGCAACTTTCTTCCCCGGCGCGGCTCTTGTCGTTTCTTCCTTTCCAATGTATTCGAGAATTGTTTCGAATAGAGGCACGGTGCAAAGCGAATTATCAATGGAATTTGTTCGCCGTTCCTTTACATCGCTTATTTCCCTTGCCGGTTTTTCACGTGCCGGAGTATTTTCTTGAAATTCTCGTGGGACAAGTTCCCGACGCCTGTTACCGTCAAGGTGCGGTAAATCAAGTCAGCGATATCGATAATTTCAGCGTGATATGTGAGCCCTATGATATACTGCAAATGGATTTTCGTCGAGGTATTTCAATTGGTATTACTGGAACGCTGCGACTTTTAAAACTCGCCGATTGTCGAACTTCGGGTTTCATTGTCACTCGCAGGTGGTTTCCTTCTTCCTTTTACGCATTTCAAAGTAGAGAGGAAGTTTTCTGGTACACAATCTTATGCGGATCTTCCTCTTTCTCTTCCACGCGAAACTTTGCGAATTTTATTCAAGATTCCGGAATAAAATGTCCTTCCACGCAGTTATTCAAATTATCTTATTTAATATCCCCGGCGATCCCAGCCCTCGTGTAATATCCTTTTCAGAGTTGCGCGATAACAAATCGTAGGTAAATGATAATAACGTTTTCGAATCTTCGACCACGTCGGTCGGTTTCGAATGATTTCCAGCTACAAACAGATACGCTTTTTACAAGAGGAAAACGTATTTATCTGAGAGCGTTATCAATTATTCCGGCGTTGAACATGCATCGTCGCCACACGCGATCCGTATTGCTGAAAATCTAAAGCACGAAAGAATAAACAAATTGTGCAAATAAATTGCGAA